TAGGCTCCTGAACAAGGGAAGGCCTGGAGCTTACAGAGTCTTAGACACGGGCTGTACTGTACCCCAGTCGAATGGAACAGGAAGCCAGCTTCCTTTGGCATTCCATAGCAAGAATTCCAAGAATATTGGGGGGTATTTTCTGTTATTTTGAGATCACTCATCTTTCTCCAGGAAATGGGATAGTAACCTGTGCTATATGGTATATATCCTTCAAACTACCATCAGATTATTCACCCAGGGAAGCTAGCACCAAATGAGGACTGAGTTTTAGGGTTGTCGGTAAATCCTTTTAAAAGAAATGAAAGTCAAATGTGACGACAGGTAACTAAACACTGGACAGCACAGGAGGGAAACAATGATCTCCTCTGAGCAGGTATTATGTAAGAGCTTCTTAAACAGTGGAATTGAACTCCGTCCTGACACTAAGATAGGGCTGGCATGTGTTCTGTAATGGCATACTGAGAAATCAAGCAAGGCAGCAGGAGATGGTTCAGAACAGTTAATTTCCAGTGATTTTGGTGTGTGTTTTAAGTGGGTGGGATTTTGTTAAGTAATTGTTTTTGTGTGTGATTAATTGTTTTATTTGTTGCTGTTTTCACCCATTAACCCAAGGCCACAGCAAATTCCTTTGAATGCAGATAACTAAGGATTGTAATTATCCTTGAGTGGAAGATTGTCTGACTTCTTGTGTTAGATTCCTAGGTTTTTATATAAGTCTAGTGTCTAATGCACAGTTCTGTATCAGAAATTCAAAAGGCAGGGTTTCCAAAACTAATCGTTTTTCCATCTTAGAACTGTGGTGTACCCTCTTGATGTAGTCCTGTAAGTCAGTAGAGCCTAATGGACACTGCCTGCATCCCTCAGCAGCAACATTTGGAGAGGAAAAAAATTCCAGCTTCAGTTTTTCTTACATCAGTTTATCACGTTTTACTCACTAATTCATTGCCTTTAGTGATCCATTTACAGGGATTTCTCCGTGATGGAAAGCTGCCAAACATTATACTGTTGGTCAGTATGTTCAAGCAACTTTTTGAGTTTTAAATCCTAAATGAGATGCCCACTGTTGACATTCATGGTACTGTACAGTATGTATGTCTGAGAGCATTGCATAGATCTCCTTATGATTGTAAACCATGGACTGCAGGTTAAACATGCAGAGCACAAAAAACGGTCCTAAATTAGCATTTAGCATTAAACAAATCAAGATTTCAAGTAACCATTTGTTCTAGTGCCTTTGAGCAAGCTTTTGGTTGGCCTGACGTCTGACATCCAAACAGATTTTAACCCCTAGGAATTGTTTGAAGAATAAGGTTGCTTGTCAATTAAGTTTAAAAGAAATGTTTTAGCTGTTGATATGAGGAATAAAGTTTTAGTAGCAGTATAGTTTCTTGTGAAGAGGAACATTTATCCCATATCGTATTTAGAA